TGTCACAAGCAATACTGAACAGGCATCTGTTTCACCAATTCCAAAAGGCAATTTCTTTGAACCCAATTGTAGGCCAAGCGTTGCAACCGCTCCATATGCAAACATACCAATCAATGGAAGAGGAACACCTGAAAGGTTTTAATGTCTGTAAGCTGCATAGCTTTTACAAATGCATGCACACATAAAAATTAAGCTAGTACACATCATATTTTTCTCTCGAGGCGTTCCTAATTTTAAAAATCAAGGATCGTTAAAAAAAAACTCAGTATAGCTTAGTAATTTACTTAACCCAACGTCAACAAATAAATACTGGAGTCTTTCAATGGCTTTGCGACTGATCCAATCAGCAATTCAGCTTATCAAACCACTTCAACAGAGTGTGCATGTTTAGGTAGCTCAATTTCAAAAGGAAAGATCGTAAATTTATTATTATGGAGCAGAATGTGTAATGCACCATCAACATTTTAAACTCCGTTATGGCCCAAGAGAATCATTTTGTGCCTCAGTTTTAAACTTAGTACACAAAATAGCAAGAAACAAAATCAACTAGAACTGTAGTAGCATCATTCTGTACCAAAAACGACAGAGTAATCGCTATTAAGGACGCTGCCGCAACCGCCACCGCCACCGCCACCTCCAACAGGGCAAAAGGCATCGGAGTCGGTGAGCTTGAGATAGGTCAAGTAGGAAGTCTCCAGAAATCCTAATCCTCCGAGTCCTGCGACCCAATTCAATGCCGTAACTGCGCTTTCGTTATCAGAAGAATAAGAAGACGACGTCGACGTTGAGGCTGACGCTGACGTCGGCGTTTTAGCCTCAGAGTTTTCTTCAGCTTCTCTGGTGGTCTGCTCCGGCAAGCAATTAACCCGAAGCAACGATAATCTCCGAGCGCAACCACTCTTCATTCGATGATTACAAGTCAGATACTTGAGTGAGAGAGAGAGAGACCGGGATAGGGCGGGCACCTTAGATTGGTGGAGGACATGTGTAGAAATGGAATGAGGCGGGGAAGGGGAGAGAAGAGGAGCTTGAAAGAACACAGGAGAAGCTGATAGGCTGCTTACGAAGCTCGCCGCCTTCGCCATCTTCAGCTTTACTACTCCTCCTCCGGGAAGTATATACTATACAGTCAACTAACGGCACAACCGCCGGTGGTGGCAGGTACGAGGCAGCTCAAGTTCTGTGACTGACTAGAATTGGGCCGTGGATACAAAACTTCTTTTCATGTGGTGAAGGCCCTTGCCAGCCGGGCCTTCACGCGTCGGCCCTGCCACCCGCAAATTAATATTAACATCTCAAATTAATATTTTTTTTTATTTACTGGTCCCTGAAAATGAATGGAATGATGGATAGATGCCTTTCATTCCTGTTAGTCAAATCCAACCCTAGCCTGTGCTTAAGAAGTGAAAAAACATGAGTCGAAAACGTCAGGGGCCCAAAACCAGAAGGTCCAGAACTCCACAACTGTCCTCATTTACTACCAAAAAAAAAAAAGAAAGAAAAAATACACGTCCTTAATTGTGTGTGGGCATTGAGAAGCGTGATCGGAGATAAAACCTCCAGCTCCAGGTGACAATTTCGGACTTATCTCCACACCACTGCCACGTCCCGAGTTAGCGTCTCCACTCCATCATTTTACTAGATTTTATCCAATTCCAACTTCCCCTTGTTATTCATTCATATTCTTATTAGTAAGTGATGACAATTGATAAATATCCCCATACCTGATTCCACCACAACTATCGTGGCAGCCCCAAAAAAAAAAAATCCATCATCCCGTGATGACGTTTCGGTACCCCTAGTCTCTGTTTTCCACGCCAAAAATAAAAATTTTTTTGTCGTCAATAAATATCCATGCTCACCTTCTTTCTACAGGGTCTCTTCTCCAAGCTAGACTAAACAGAGTAAAACAAAACGCTGGTGAAAAGAGCAAAGAAAAACCAGCAGAGTCACAAGACAGCTAGTTTGTTCAACATTTGAACTTCCTCGTATACTTCAAAACCATGATGGGGGCTCTCTCGGTTTCCTCCTCCGCTACCTTGTCAACATTTCTGCGTAATCTTCCGCACCATTTCAGGAAAAGGTGACAAACCTATCATCTGGCCATCATCTGTTTCCTCCCCTTTATTTCCTATTCGTTGTAGTATCATGCGCAATCTAAAAAAAAATAAAAAAGTAAAAATCCTGTTTTGTAGCTATGCATCAGTCTCAGCGCTATCAATGGCCAAGGCTAAGTTTCAACTCCCGAAACAACGCAAGTTCAGCACTGGCCACAGAAATCCCAGCTTCAGGTTGGCTTCTAATTCATTTTGTTTTCTTGTTTGTATCTTTTTGCTGAATCTTTCATCATCTGTGGCACTGATGACTTTTGTGTGTATGGATGCTGTGACAGTTGGATGGCTACTGTTGGAGAGAATGTTCAATCAAATGCATCAGCAGCAGCACCACCACCAACATCAGTCCCGGTTCGTGTAGCTCACGAGCTGCTTCAGGCAGGCCATCGTTATTTAGATGTCAGGTGGCTGTTTCAGTATTCTGCTTAATATCAATCAATTTTAGAAAAGGGATTATGAAAATTGAGTCAATTCAAACTGTCATAGCCACGAGATGTTTTTGTGGTGGTGCTGTGCAGGACTGCTGAAGAATTCAGTGCTGGTCATGCTGCTGGGGCTGTCAATGTGCCTTACATGTTTAGAGTTGGATCAGGTTTTGCACCACTAAAATTTAGTTCTGAATTAATTTATCTTGCCAGTGTTTTTTTATTTAAGCAAACTCTTGTTCTCAAGTTTATGATGATTAAAAGTGAAATTTGCATTTTAGCTGCTTTAGCTTAATGCAGTTGCAGGGGATATGGTATTGTCGTTTAGGTATTACCCCTAAATTAATATGCATATGCCTAATTCCACTTTGAGTTCCGAGGGATAAGTACAGTGGATACATGAATTATGTCTCCATTTGACCTTACTGTGGAGAAAGACCAGTGTAATCAGGATGCATAATGGGAATGGCATTTGTGTAGGCTCACTATATCATGCATATCTATTCGTGCCTCTGGGATATGTAGTGTAAATTGTCTGATTAGAACCCTTGGCATAATAAACGTAAAACATAAGCAAGAAAAGTCGGGAAAGCAAATGACTTTTAAAAGAACAGAAAATACTGTCATATAGATCTTATGCAATTTAGCTTCTTCCTGATGTCGCCTTTTTGGTATATGAACACAGGTATGATTAAAAACCTGAACTTCGTGGAGGAAGTTTTAGCAATTTTTGGGAAAGATGACGAAATTATTGTTGTAAGTTTCGAAAATGCATCCCTTTAGTTCCGGTCTTGCCTTTTCCTTTGTCCCTGAGATGGGCTGGACAGGGGGAAGGGGTGGTGCTTTTGTTTACTGAGATTTGCTTCCTAATTCCTTACTCTTCATTTCAACTTGCTCTGATTTTATAGGGCTGCCAATTGGGGAAAAGGTCATTGATGGCTGCAACTGATCTTATATCCGCTGTGAGTTCTTTGTGTTTATTAGTCTACAGTCTTATAATTCGACACGTACCCAGTGAAGATTGATGCTTTAAACTTAGTTTCAGTGAAGATTGGTGCTTTAAACTTTAGTTTTCTGGTTTACATGCATCTATGTGAGTATGTGGTAAGTCCAACTTAAAGATATCACATTCCCTGTTGATGCTACTCTGTTCCTGTTGATTAATTTCGAGTTCAGCTTCATATGGCTTGTAAAATAGGTCCAGCAAGAAGTACCAGATACTTGCATTCGTGCTGTGAATACGCATTTCATGCAACCAACTCAAACATCCCTGTGATATCTATTTCTCTCCATGGACTAATTAAGCGCTTGTCCTGCAGGGGTTTACTGGCATTACAGACATTGCAGGTGGATATGCTGCCTGGGTACAGAATGAACTTCCGACAGAGTCGTGATGACTATGGAGGAGGGGAACACGGGTTGTGACGCTTAATAACACAGGCTATGTACAGCGTTAGATTATGCAAAATAATTTTTTTAAAAAATAAAAAATAAAAAATAAAAACTGGCTGTGTACTGACTTTACAAGCAGGGAGAAAAGGCAATGTCAAACAATTAGAATGGAAGTTGTACAGCAATTTACTGGGATTATGTCGTATGAATTATAAGTTGTTGGTCATTTTTCTTCTGATGTGCATTTGACTATGGATAATAGATGCATGGCGCTGATCCTTTGAATGTAGTTTGTCTTGTAATCTGGATGATCTGAGATTAACAAGAAGTCTTTGTAATTGTTCAATTGTATTTGTATGTGCTGCATTTGCTTAGTCTTTTAGTTATAGGTATAAAATAGCAATGAGCCACCATTTATAGTTGGACATTAATGGTCAGACATAGAAGTGATCGACCCATCAAAAAAGGCAAGTGCTAACTCTGGTTGCTCAGCTTGAATCTAAAGGTTGCTGGGGTCTATTAGGTGAAGGGTGTCAGTTGACTTCCTCCACAGACTAAAGGCGCAAAATCCTTCACTTATGAACCACAACTGCACAAATGACAGTCTAAAAGCTCTGTTTTGCAGTAGGCAATACAAAGCAATGTTTTGGAACATCAAGGTCGAATTGTTTCCTATTATGTTCATTTTTTCAATTCTAAGAGAACCCGTTGAAAGGAAGCGTCAGTTATAGAAATGGGAATCGGTGTTTTCAAGATTCCAATATAAGATTTGCCTTTAGATCAAGGGGGAGGGGGAAAAAATGGTGCGCGTCCCCAAGAAGGGATCAAAATAGAATTATTTAATCACCAGGCCTGCTGATTAGGTGGTCCTGTGTATCGGCTCCTGGCTTCTTGGATTAGAAAGCTTGAAATCCCAACAACCGAAGCCACAGAAAAAAAAAAAAAAAATTCATCCCTCCACGTTCAAACTTCCCAAAAATATGAGGAGTCGTCCCTATTCAACAGAACATGTTGCGCATGCCTCATGCCTTGATGCATACGTCTGCGTACTTGCTCGCTGTATCATCGAAAGGACAAGCCAAGAGAGAAGCTCTGGCAAAGAAGTAGACGCCTGATCAATAGTAGAAAATGGGAATGCCCGGAAAGAAATGGTTCCGTGTTGGCCGAAGACAACTCTTCCGATCAGCTCCCCGCGAAACACTAATCGTTCTTCACAACAACAATACAAGCCGCAGTTGCTTTAGTGAAGCAACAACAACAAGACTCAGCGAGGATATCAGAATTTCTGTGTCTAAAGAAGAACTCGCAGCAATTCAGATCCAAGCCTGCTTCAGGGGGCATCTTGTATTATATTCGTAACAACTTCTCTTCGTTTACGTTAAAATTTCTCAATCTGATAAGCCTTCTTGCTCAATTTGGAAACTTTGTTCTTTATATTTTCATCAGGCAAGACGGGCATTTCGAGCACTTAGAAGCCTTGTGAAGCTGCAAGCGGTTGTTCGTGGGGTGTGTGCGAGAAGACAGGCTCGAATTGCTTTGCACTGCATGCATGCGCTTGCAAGGTTGCAGGTCACTATTCGAGCTCGACAGCTCCTTTTGCAATGATCGGTAGATGCGGATGATCGACTTCGGAAGCCACAAAACATCAACAATCCCATCAATCATAAGGGGTTCCTGTGTTTATGATTCAACATCAGTCTTCGGTTTCAAGGGTTCTTTTGTTTATGATTCTGCTTCACTCTTCATGGTCATTTTCTATTTGGTTTCGCGAGTGACTTTACCATTCGCATTGAATAATGCACTAATTTTCAGAACTCGACACATCCTATGCGTACTTTAACAAGCCTATCCAATTCACCTCCCTGAATTCTTTTTGTCTACTCTGATTCTCCTATTTTTAGTTGGGGGAAAATAACTGGGACAAATAATTTGGTTGTTGTATGGTACGAATTTTACTTGTTATCCGGAGCATGGAATGTTTCTCCAATGTAATAATGCCCACAAGCCGTCCAAATTCGACCATTACTTCCAACTCACCAGTTCACAAGTACTTTGATCCGGAAAAGAGAGAATGAAACATACATGATAAAACAAAAACAGGCACAGCCCTTGACGAAACGAGTTGAAAATAGTACCTGTAAGAGGTTACTGAGCCTTGATTGGATAAGTGGTTCCAAGCTGCATTAATAGCTGAAAGGAAACTTTTCACTAACCCGATGGATTACACGTGTTTCGATAATGAGGGGAAAAAAAAATTTTCTGTACTCAACAAATGATGAAATTCTATGCAACAGAATCATAACGTCGAATTGTCAATGATGGCCCTTTCTGAGAGAGGAGAAAAACCCACCGATCGATTTGTCCTTCTGCCGATCTTCTACTTCATCTACAACCTGTTTTCAAGATAGCTAACGTCAGTCCAACTCAACCAACAACATCATATATTGACTAAATTCTCTCAAGAATCCCCACCTCCTTGGCAATTCTCTGCAAATTTTCCAAAATTTGGGAGAAATTTGGTCTGTGAGTAGGATCCTGCTGCCAGCACTTCTCAAGCAGCTCTACTAATTTTGGATGTGTGCGCTTAGGAATTGCAGGCCGTAGACCCTGAGAGACAAGAAAGGTCGGATGCTATTTTACAACATTAAAAAGCTTTGGTTGGCATGCTTCAGTCAGAATTAGACATGGAATACCTGTTGCACAACCCCTATAGCTGCTTGCAAAGGTGTCAAATCTGAATACGGAATCTGAACCAGTTCAGCGAAACAAAATTACTTCGAGTATTGAGTGATACAAGAATACGAGGATATATAATATTATCCCGGAAAATGCTATAAAACTCACTTCTCTTGTTAGAAGCTCCCATAGTACAATGCCGAAGCTGAAAACATCAGCCTTGTGATCATAAAGTTTGTGCTCAATTACCTTCAGTACATCAAAAGAAATTTCAGGGTAAAGAGTTACCCCAGGGTTGCAGCCAACAAAAGGCTTAAACACCCAATTCTGGTATACATAATTTCATGAATAATCTTCAAATTCAATAGTAGCTTTGCTTCCGGTAGCTCTTCCTTTTCAACTAAGACTCGTATAAATGACATAACCTTTCCTTGATTACATTTACCCATTAAATTTGTCTTTCTCATCTTGAAAGTTGTCCTCTACCAACATGATCAAGTGGTACAAGCTAGGTAGTTTAAAAGTTATGTATAGATTTAAAAACTTTGCCACAGATGCAGATAATACACAAGAAGTATACCTCAGGAGCCATCCACCTGTATGTACCAGTTTCTGCAGTCATAACCCCAGTTTGGGACACCACTCTAGAAACGCCAAAATCAGCAACCTTAACTACCTGCGGAAGAGAGACTGATTTTAGAAGAGTACATCCTCAAAACAAAAAAAAAACCTAACACTCCCACTCCCAACAACCGGCCGCTCCCTCTGCCCTCCCCCCCCCCCCTGGGGGGCCAAAAAAAAAAAGAAAACAATTCCAAAAAAAGAATGATGCTGATTACAACATTTTTTAACCAACTTCATCAACAGCTAATGTGCGAAAATGCAAAATCTTCTGCTCAGTCCGAAAATTGCCAACTTAAGCGCACAGGTCATCTCAACTTAGACTTCCCCATGTCATAGTAATGTTATTCAGATGTATTTGTCCAACGTAATTTAGCAAACAAGTTAGAAAAGGTTTTCTTAAGTGGTATGCAGCTCTGGAAAGAAGCATCTTACTTCATGTTCATCCATTAGAAGATTGGCAGTCTTCAAATCCCGATGAATTATATTATTCTGGTGCAAATAGTTCATTCCCTTAGAAACATCCATTGCCACTCTGATAATGGTAGAAAGCTTAAAGGTGCTTTTTTGCTTGTGCAAGAAACTGTGCACACTTCCTTTGCACATGAATTCTGTGAAACCATAACAAAACCATCACAAAGCAAGCACAATCAGACATTACAAAGAACGGAACAAAGAGTTCATAATAATCTGTTAATTACTGCACAAACATTTCAATATCTGGCATACTTCCAAATTTTGCAAAAACGTGCGCAAATGTTTCAACTACTAAATTGTGCATAAAGAAACAGAGAATCACTATCTGTGAAAATTATCATCTATAGAATAGATCTCCACAGTAAAATTTATTCCATATAGGGATCACATCATCAACTTTAGAAGGTATGGCTTTCAGCATACAAAGTATTTCCATGGCAAAATCCAATACCCAATTTCTAATTATGCATATAGAAATTGGCTTCTCAAAACTAAAAGTTCTTACATATAGGAATCAAAAGATCAGGTTCAGAATGTATGACTTTTGGGATATGAATCATCACTATGGAATGAGCAAATTACCCGTGACAATGCAGAGGTTTGGAGGTTTTGTGCATGCACCCAGAAACTGAACTACATTCTTATGCCTAATTTTCCTGCAAAAGGCAAACAAAGCTAGCTTATGTACAAAAGGAATCAACTAAGAGGAAATACTATTCAATTCCAGAAAACTAAATAAATGTCTACATAGTTTCAGAAACCCAAAACAATATTTTGTCCATGCTTTAGTGAGAAGAGAATGAACCTTTCAGTGGTATATGCCTAGAAGAAGATTATTGCAAATCAACAGATAAGCTGTTTTCAGCAGGTAATGATGAGTTAAACTTGACTACAATACACTAAAGCAACTGATTGAAAACTAGTTGATGCACTGGTATTATATCCCATCTAGTATATCCCTCTATGATAAGCATTTGACAAAAAAATTTTCCAACTCCAAAACCTTGTTGAAGAGGAATGCTGTCTATGCTCTAGCTGCTCTGCACATTGCAGCGTCTTTTAGCTTCTTGAAAATTCTTAAAGTTGTAGACATAAACAAAAGAAAACTTCCTTTGGTAAATACAAGCCAATTCTTTCATTGTTAGGAAGACCACCAAAGAAGAAATCTCTAGCAACTCAACAACAGAAACACAACAGTTAAAATTGAATTTCATTTGAAGTTAAATGACAACCAGCCATGCATTTAGATGACAAACAAGATCTACAAAATTACTCCTCAGAAAGCTATTTTTTCACTACAGAGAAAATGAAAAATTCAAACAAGTATCTAAATGAAAGCAGAATTGGCAAATGCATATACATGATTGCAAATTTTAACAAACCTCATGATGAAAACCTCCTGGGAGAACTCTTTCAACATGTCTATATTTACTCTCTCAGGTTTGAGGACTTTTATGGCAACTTCTTGACTACAATATGTACCTTTATACCTGAAAAAAAAATAATGAGCCTAACAGCTATGCATCCACCACAAAGAAAGAATAATTTTATGTATATAACTTACAGATCACCAAATGCTCCAGAAGCAATCCTATTCCCAAATCTCAACTGGCGGGGATCAATTTCCCAGACATCAATCTCGTCAGTAGGTATTTTCACATATTCCGAAATGGATGGGTTTCCTCTTTCATAATTCTCGGTCATAGGTGGTACATGTTGTTCTGAGGAAGGCTGCTCCTACAGAATCACAAACACATGAGGTTGTCATGCATCTTGCCAAAAAAAATAGAAAAACAAAAGCGGAACAGGGAAATGTTTTGAGAAATATGCCCAAATATTTAGTAGAAGCTAAGGCTTTGATCTTATTTTCTGTGTGGGCTACAGACTTTATGGTTTCTAAGCAACTCTTCAGCTATGCATGTGTCAAAATGACTCTCAAGCAAGCAATTGCATTCAATCCAGAAGCAGAAATCACATATCATCAACTTGCAAACTAAAAGATACAAGTTTTCTTAACGTCTTATAGTGGATCAGACATCTAAAAGCACACTTGTAACAAGTATAGAGTTATAAGAGAATACTAATTCATTGAGCACTATTGAACTGCTTGTTCAAACTGGGTGACTTGTTAGTGGCAAACAATGAAATCGCGCTGTCATAAATAAACCTATAAGAATCAATTTTGGGAAGATAATATTGTTTGCCAACTCAGATTAGAATTACTGTTAAGGCTCACTTCTCAATCAACTGCTGGACCCTAACACTCAGCACTGCCCAATCTATTTAAAAGAAAACATAAGAAATTGAAGTTTAAGATAAACTTTCAGATTATTCACCGTAACAAGGGAACAGCCATCAAATTAAGAAGAGACAACATTACACAGTAAGCACCAAGAGTAAACCAACAGTTGCAGCTGAGTAATAGGAGACAATTAGAAAACACCTCAGAGCAGATGAATGGCACAATTAATTCACCAAATAAAGTTTACAATTTAAATATTTATCAAAAGGGAGCCACTAAAAAAGGTGTCTCAAGCAGCTTCAGCAAAGTAATGCCATTTAACAGGATAGAACAAGGGTTGCGGCCACAAATCTGCATTCCTGAGGCACATATCATGCATACAGAAGAACAACCAAGAACTTCTATTGTCTGCTACTAAGCCTCAGATACAGAATTTCAACGTCCTTGCGTCGTAAGAACTGAAAATGATTACTTTCACATAGGAGGTCTCTGATCATTTCACTATCAGAAATATGAAGAACATATACCTTGGCCATCTTAATTTCCTTTTGCAGCTTACTCTTTAGCAGCTCAGTTTCCTATAAATTGGCAATAAGAATAGACATAAGTTTAATTTCATGACAAAAGAAGAGTGGGAGGGGACATCAGGGAGAAAATATTGTGAGAGATAAAAATAAGCAGTCTTCCGAAAACAAGTCTTCATGGTATGTAGTCATTTACATCATGGAGATGATAATATAAAACCAAAAAAGTCATCAGATTTCAACATAGCCCAATGCATACCATCATGTTTCAGAAAATATTT